GCCACGCTCCTGGGAAAGCCCACGGACAGGTTCATTCATACTTCAAAACAAATGCGGCACACACCTCCGCTAGGCGTCGTTGATGTTTCTTTTTGTTGTGAAATTTTACTGTGGACTAAGATAAGTCATTTTAGACAGTTCACTCAATGTTAATTATAATGAAAAAACGTTTGGTATTACACAATCATGGCTTGCGAAAAAACAAAACTTTATCGCAAGGAAAAATTGGAAAGAAAAAACGCAAAGCCAAAGTAATAACAAACAAGAAAAATGAATACAAAAAAGGCAAGTGAAGAACACTGCTGCTGTTTCAGCTCATTTGAACGAGGTGAAAGACAGTCTCATGATTCGGAGGCCGGAAGACAACGTGGTAAAGACTGCGCCCACGGTTTCGGGATTCTCCAGCAGCGAATGCCGGTTCACTAGATGGAAAAAAGTAAAAATAAAATAAAAATCTACAGGGATGCGGTTGGAGGCCACGAAAAGAACGATCTCGATTGAATCGAAAACGAGAAACAACCGAAGCAAACACTTAGACCATCAGTTTGTATAGAAATACAGAAAAAACATGAGAGCAAGAGATAGACATTAGCGTGGCAGCAAACTAAATGCGATCATATCCGCTTTCCCTTTCAGAGTTTATATATAAAACAAATAAATTACAATAATTGTTTCTCTCCACAAATTTTCCCCCTCAAAACCCACATCACCCTTAACAGAAAACAATTCCCCTCTGCCACTCCTGTTCCCAAGAGCCACGCCCGTGGGAAACCAACGCAAAAGCAATTCGGCTGAAGACACCCCATTGGCGCCACCCCTCATCCGGCCAAGTGCACGTTAAACCCTCGTAATGCCAGATGAACGGCAGGCGCCTCTGCTTGGAGAATCGTGTGGGCGGCGAATGCTCCCACGCACCCCCTGCCGCCAAAACTTCTCCTGAATCCTTGAATAATAACGCCCCCCATCCGTACGTGGGGGCGTCTGTTACCAGTGTTGCCGTGGATGGCAACTGCTGAGGAGGATGAACCGGCCCATTTGTTAACAATGTGTCGGGCCAACTGTGCCCGATGTTTTTTGCAGTAGCCGATAAATTTGCCGGGTCTTGTGGCCTTATTAAGCCTCGATTTAAACGTGACAAACGTCGGCGTACGATTTTTAGAAAGAAATAATAAGGGAAAAGGGATTCACCTCTTACCCCTCCCGCGTACATCATACGCGAAACCGTACTCTCCAATTCTTCAACCGTCGTATTATCGAGAGAAGGTGCCCGTTGCAACCTCTTTATTGTTTTGTCGCTTAAAGAGACCGTGTGATCTTTATGATTGAAATGTACTCCTATAAAATCATATTCCTTTGTATTGAGCTTCTGCTCTCCGATGGTGGCACCGCCACGTTGCATGTTCTTCAAAATTTGCTTACCCCAAGTTTCCACCTTTTTGTGTTGACCACTTATTCGGATGTTATAAATCCAGAAATGTATGTGTAAATCTTTTGGTGTCACGTACTGTGGCTTTACCAGTTCCGGATCTCCAGCCAGAACTCTTGTAATGGTATTTCAAATCTCAGGAATACATTTATAGCCCATAGGAAGGTAAGTGAACTCGACGAGTTCCCCTGATTCCGTGCGGCAACGGAAACTTGCGCGTATGTTTAACGGTAATGCCACTTGAAAAAATGATGCCTTTAAATCAAATAAAGTTGCAGTTTCATCGTAAACTGCATCCAGGTATCGGGAAATGTGTTCCAGAGGAACATCAGCTTCATAATCATCCTTGTCATTCTTTTCTCTTGGCAAAGCAATGAATCGCCTTCTTTGCCCGGAGGGTTTTTTCTCCACCACCACCGTAGGCGGTACTACCCATCCTTTGGTTGGGTGTGATGAAGCTGTACAAATAATTCCCGCTTCCTTCATACGCTGCGCATCGGCATTGTTAATTCTTAAATTGGATTCACGCCGTCTGGCATGTAATTCGGGTTTCTTCATAATATACCATACCTCGTCCCAACGCCTCCCGGCACTATTGTTCAGCCTTCCTCCGATCCATTCGGTGGACAGCGTTCCGACGTCTATTTGTTGCAACGGCAATCGTGCTTCTTCATCTTTCGTTGCCACCCTAGTGCGGTGTGACCGTTGCAGAATATTGTGGCCTTTAAAGGGAACGCCAAAATGTTGTCCCGTAAATTCTGGCAATTCCCATTGTTCCAATTCTCTTACATCAATGATGTCAGGCGTGCTGATTTGTTTATTGTTGCGGCCCAATGGCCCAGATAACGCACCGTGCTGCGTGAGAGTTCCATGGGGTCCGCGTGTTTCCCTAGCTGCGTTAATAATCTTGGGTCGAGATTGTGTTCGACCACTGCCGCCGCGGCGTGGGCCAAAGCTCCTCTCTTGATGGAGTGAGCTGCAATGCCGTAAGGCAGAAGAATATTTTCCATACCTCTTGTAGTTAGTGTGGTTAACTTTTCGTCGCTTGGCATTCCTTTTATGGTTTCTCTGACCCATTGTACGCCTTCTCCTTGAATTACGACGTATCTGGCCGCTCTGTGTGGATCGCTTTTGAATGTTTATGCTGTTTGAATTACCCTGAGTTGTGTATATATCTGTCGTCTCATTTGGACCAGCTGTGCTGATATCCCCTCGTTGCGAATGGAGTCCAGCCATCGTACAAAATTATTCCACGCATCTTGATAAAATATACCGGGGTTAACTGGCCTGGGAAAAAGTTGCCGATAAGCCGCCACAACTTCGCCGGGTGATGCATCCCCCAGATATTCCATCATTCCTTCAAATGTGCGGATCTTCTCCGATGGTCTATTGCTTTCGGTCCAAATTGGTTGTCGTAATTCCTGTATTCCCTGAAAACCCAACTTCGGGCGTTCCTCAGTATGCGGTAAAGCCGATTCCGGCTTCCATGCCCAGCTTGATAAATTTCTCCCTTTTTTTGTGGGGGTACTCTTGGTCCGGTTGTCCGGCTTGCATTGGGAACGCTCTGTTGTTCTCTTTCGTTTAATTTTTTCGAGCGCCGCCTCTAGTTGAGACTGTGCCGCAGTATCCTGATTGCGCATCTGCCGCAATTCATCCAGCGTTTGGTTAAGTTTTGCGCGGGGTGCTGCCAATTTTGTCTGTGTGTTTGCCAGTTGCGCCTACGTTTCTTCCAATTGCTTCCGCGTCTGAGCCTGTTGCATTTTCGCGAGGAAGGCCTCCTGATAAATCTGTGCCATTTGGTTCTATAATTCCTGGAGTTGTGTATTTGCGTTTTGTTGTACCCTAAAGGCTTCGTGTTCCAACTGCGCCAGTGCGCGGCCATACTCATAATGTAGCTTTGCAGCTTCCTCCCCCAGTGCTGCCCCCATTCTGCACTGAATAAATTGTATGTCGTCTCGAAAACTTGTAGAAAATTTTGATTCCGAGGCATTGTAAAGTTAATTATGGAAGGGCACAAGGCCTCCCAGTCCATAAAGTCTTCTTGGCCTATTTTTACTTTAAGTGTATCGCCTTCTAATGTCAGAATACTATCAATGTGAAAACAGTACTGCGGCACGTCCGCTGGTCTTAAATTAAAAGAAAAATGCCGTTGGACCAAATTGGCGCACAAAATCTTGGAAAGCCTTGGTGCAAATCCACCACTCTAATGGTGTATAGGTCGGATTGGTTGTAGTTATCATTTTCCTTGTTTAAAAAACTCACTTTTATTTTTTCAGAAACTTACGATTGACAGACTGTAAAAGATTGAAAAGAAAACTCATTTTCCTAAATGTTAAAACCCCCAGTACAAGATTTGTTAACTAAAAAAACAGCAAGACTCGATCATTCTTTTCGCAAGCTAACGAAAAAAAAAAAAAAAACAGAATATGCAGTGAAAGAACGAGCAGAGGCAAAAAACATGATTTTTGCTACAACTTAATACTTTCAGGGTGAAACCTAACGGATGGTAGTAATATTCTATAGCAATCGAAAGCAATATGTGAATTGGGGAGGCTCTCCGCACGTAATCGTGGAACAGTCTCTCTCCGTACCTCAATTTCCTCGACAGAGCATTGTCGAGCCCATTTGAGCTCTAAAAAAAAAAAACTTCAAAAACAAGTGCATCTTTCAGTATCATCACGCTACTATCGCCATAGCGAAAATCTATGAATCTCAGTCTCTACTTTTTCTCTCTCCGGCTTAGTCGTGATCAAAATAGACATGCAAGCCATTGATGACCATTCAAAAAAAAAAAAAAAAAAACCAAAAAAAAGAGATAGATTCCGAGGAGAAATTTATTGGAGTAACAAGTTACGAAATAAGTAATAACCATTTTTTTTTTTTTAATCCTTTTCCCTCCAACATTGGTCTTACACACGAGTTATACGATCAAGTGCCTTTTTTCTTTGATTTATATGATTCAACTCTCTCTCCAAATGATGCGAGAAGGAGTCTTGAGTAATCAGATGCGGTTCTTTTTTTTGTGCCATGGCACCACCCATGATAGTGTGTGATGCTTCACGATCCTTCTCACGAGTTTCCCATCCACTTAAAAGATCAAACAATTCTATACATGCTTTCATTTTTGTGGAAGCATATTTGGGGGCTATAAACTGCATTGGTGTTAGAGAAGGTTTGTGTCCCAACTCCTGACCCAACAAGCGCAAAACAGCCTGACCGAGAGACGCGTCTTCTGCTTCGATACAGAACCATGGATACTTGCGCATCAAAGCTGCAGTGGCGCGGGGGAAAGAAAAGAGGAAAGTGCGCATAAACATCGCATAGCAGCGCGGAACGCCTTTGTAAACATCCTCCTCTGTCACGGCGTCCCAGCCATCAAAGTTAACGAAGGCGAGTTTCCGATGCAAAATAGAAAAGGTAACCCTTTCCATTGCTATAAAGAAGAAGAAGAATCAAGAAAGGGGGAAAAATATATACGGTATTCAGAAAAGTAACTACAGTACAACTCAAGTAGAATCATCTTTACCCCTCAGTATATATATACATACATATATAAACAAATTAATAATATATATGAGACCAATAACCCCTCTACGAGGGGCACCTGTAACTAGCCTGTAGAGTATTCGTAACAACCCTATTTATCCATCAGGTAAAAAGAGAGACCAAACATCCCAAAAAACAAGTTTCTTCTCATTCTTTTTATCATCCCAGAGAAATTATTTCCAATACCACATGAGGCCCAACCAGAAAGTGTAAAACAAAAGGAAATGAGGAGAAACCTCCTGGCACCAGAGCAGAAATTCAGACATCCGCTGGCGCAGCAGCAAAAATGCTAGTCATGCAAGCTAGCAGCATACCACGAGCAAGGTACGTTACCAAAGTGCCCATTCTAATATGGGAAATCTGCAACGTTTGAAATAGCCCACCACATATCCAGTAATCATGAACAACGGCCTTCCTCAAAGAATACAAGGTAAAATCATTATCTGTTGTGATCTCACAACCCAATGCATGAACCCATTCACCGCCACATGATCTATTAAAAGAAAAACAATGAGAGTAAAAAAAAAAAGGATACAATAGCATCGAAACGAATTACAGAAGGCGTTTAACTTCGCAAAAAAAAAGTTTACTAAAACCACATAAATAATAATAAAGAAAGAGAATTCAACCAAAAACACAGATAGTAAAATAAAAAAATTCGGCACATTAAAGAAACATTCATTTGAGGATTGTGGTTCTATTCTCACTTCCTCACTCAAAGAAAAAAAAATCTGTATTTTTTTCCGCTCGTACATACAGCAGCCCATAAAAACATTTTTAAAAAAGCACATCATTCCCGATTGTCAAATAAGTGCGAAAACAGATGACGCGAACCCCCCAAAAAAGATACTTCTAGCATAAAAAAATCATTGATATTTAAAAGATCTGTTTGAAAAAAGGATAGACTTTCCTATCTTACCCTAAAGAAAAAACAAACTCTTTTGCTAAATCCTATAGAAGGACTTTATACAATGCCAAGGCCTTTCATTGCCTCTGCGACCTTTACAAATCCAGCAATATTGGCCCCGTTTACATAGTTAACCACACCACCTTCAGAACCGTGTTCAACACATGCACTGTGAATGGAATTCATTATATCATGGAGTCTCTGGTCCACCTCTTCGGCTGTCCAGCTCAAACGGGCTGCGTTCTGCGACATTTCAAGACCAGAGATAGCAACACCACCGGCGTTGGCGGCCTTTCCAGGAGCAAACATAACTCCAGCTTTGATTAATTCCATGGTGGCCTCTTCTGTTGTTGGCATGTTTGCGCCCTCTGCGACGAGAGTTACACCATTTTTGATGAGGTTCTTCGCGTCCTCGAGTTCCAATTCATTCTGCGTCGCGCAGGGAAGAGCAATGTCAGCCTTAATATGCCAAGGACGCTTTCCTGCCTCATACTGAAGCCCAAGTTGCTTTCCGAGTTCTTCCAAAGTACCACGTTTCACGTTTTTGAGTTCCATCAGCTTCTCCAGTTTATCAGGAGTAAAACCTGAAGGGTCATGAATGCAACCGTGTGAATCAGACACGCTGATTACCTTTGCACCAAGCTGCATACATTTTTCAACGGCATACTGTGCAACATTACCTGATCCTGAGACCAGGACAGTTTTACCCTTCAAATCCTGATTTTTCGTCTTAAGCATGGCTTCCACAAAGTATACGAGACCGTACCCGGTAGCTTCAGGCCGCATTTGACTTCCTTGGAAAGCAATACCCTTACCAGTAAAGGTGCAAGCCTTGTTGTTTGTGAGTTTCTGCGCCATGCCTGCCATGAAGCCAACTTCACGACCACCGACACCAATGTCACCAGCAGGAACATCAGTGTCAGGGCCAATATGGCGGTAGAGTTCCGTCACCAGTGCTTGGCAAAAGCGCATGACCTCGCGGTCACTCTTGCCTTTGGGGTCAAAGTCTGAGCCACCCTTACCTCCACCCATTGGGAGCGTCGTTAGTGCATTCTTGAAAGTCTGCTCAAAGCCAAGGAACTTTAAAATGGATAAGTTGACGGTGGGATGAAAGCGCATACCTCCCTTGTATGGACCAATGCTGGAATTAAATTGGACACGCCATGCTCGATTCACCTGTACCTCACCCTTGTCGTCAACCCATGACACACGAAACTGGACAACACGTTCAGGTTCCACAAGTCGCTCCAAAATAGAGTCTTCACAATATTCTGGATGCTTTTGCAAAAAAGGCCAAAGTGATGTTAACACTTCTCGGACTGCTTGAACAAATTCAGGCTGGTGTGGGTCACGCGTTAAAACGCGTTTCTTTATGAATTCATCCACAGAAGAGTACTTCATGATGAGATTGGTTTCTTTGATTGCTTGTTTTTGTAGTAGTAGTTGCTGTTGTATTTGCTTTTTGTCAGTATCTTTATAAATGTCAAAAGAAGAATTATTCCAAAGAATTCAAAAGAGTACAGAAAAAGAAAAAAAAACATTTTAGCACCTGGTCACATGAAGCAATCAGCTGCAGTTTTAGCATATAAAATAATAACGTGAATCTACGTTACAAATCCAACTTACCCATGTAGCCAATTCAATCATAACGTTCCCCCATTTGATCACCTTTCATGTGCTTTAGTCTCCATTATACTTTGTTCCCGATGAAGCTATTCAACCTCCCATGGAAAACCCACATTGTTTTCTCCAGGACGCTGTGCAATAAAAATAACATGTCAATCATCAATGTGGTTCGATAGAAACAGGGACCGCACCACCTCGTAGCCAGGGATCAAAGGAGAAGTTGAGTCACCAATAAAAAAAAACATTCTGAGACAGAGTTTCTTTAAACAGCAAAAGTACGAGTTACACTACTGTTTATTGCGACTGTCAAGAATAATCGTTACCGGTCCATCATTTATCAAGTTAATGTTCATATATGATTGAAATTGCCCTGATGCAACCCTTTCTAGTAATAAATCACTTCTAAGGGTGTCACGCAAAGAATTAAACATTTTAAGTGCCCCATCAGGATCCATAGCCAAATGAAAGTCCGGCTTATTACCCTTTAGTACATGCATAAGTGTAAACTGAGAAATAAGCAAAACACCACCGTCAATTTGCTTAATATTGCGGTCCCACGTCTTTTGCGAGTCCTCACTCGGCCATAGACGCAGCCCCAAGAGCTTTCGGGCAATGTAATTCATATTATCTGCAGTATCGTCACGGTGAATACCTACCAAGACAGCAATTCCACGATTCACCTCCCCAACAACCTCATCGCCCACTCTGACTGAGCCGCTAATAGTACGCTGTGCAACAGCCTTCATCCAATATCAAGCCCCTCCTCAACCACAAATAAATACCATAGTATGCGCCTGAATTTAATCTTTGTCTTCCTTCTACAGAGCTTAAAAAAAAAAAAAAAAATTTATAGATAAATTTAATCACGTCACACTTCTACATCATCCATCCATCAAACATACAGTCAACGTTAAACCAAGTAATTCATAAAAACGAATATATGATACGCCAGTTCGTTGATTACTTATAAAGTGACACAGTTCTCGGGTCCCATCTCCAACAAAAACCCTCACGTGGATAGTAGAAGTGAGACATGAAAAGAAAACCCCAATCGTCACCTTTCAACGCAGCATCTTCCGAAAAAAAGTAATAGGTAAAGAAAAACATAGTAAATAAAGCCAAGACCACTCTCATTTTTTTTTTTTATCTTATCGGGGGACACCCTGTTTTTTTTTTTTTCTTTTACAAGTTTTTACGAACAAAAAAGGGAAAGGTAAAGAAATACAACAAATAATATCCGCTGAAGTAGATGCATATNAGCATGGCTTCCACAAAGTATACGAGACCGTACCCGGTAGCTTCAGGCCGCATTTGACTTCCTTGGAAAGCAATACCCTTACCAGTAAAGGTGCAAGCCTTGTTGTTTGTGAGTTTCTGCGCCATGCCTGCCATGAAGCCAACTTCACGACCACCGACACCAATGTCACCAGCAGGAACATCAGTGTCAGGGCCAATATGGCGGTAGAGTTCCGTCACCAGTGCTTGGCAAAAGCGCATGACCTCGCGGTCACTCTTGCCTTTGGGGTCAAAGTCTGAGCCACCCTTACCTCCACCCATTGGGAGCGTCGTTAGTGCATTCTTGAAAGTCTGCTCAAAGCCAAGGAACTTTAAAATAGATAAGTTGACGGTGGGATGAAAGCGCATACCTCCCTTGTATGGACCAATGCTGGAATTAAATTGGACACGCCATGCTCGATTCACCTGTACCTCACCCTTGTCGTCAACCCATGACACACGAAACTGGACAACACGTTCAGGTTCCACAAGTCGCTCCAAAATGGAATCTTCACAATATTCTGGATGCTTTTGCAAAAAAGGCCAAAGTGATGTTAACACCTCTCGGACTGCTTGCACAAATTCAGGCTGGTGTGGGTCACGCGTTAAAACGCGTTTCTTTATGAATTCATCCACAGAAGAGTACTTCATGATGAGATTGGTTTATTTGATTGCTTGTTTTTGTAGTAGTAGTAGTAGTAGTTGTTGTTGTTGTTGTTGTTGTATTTGCTTTTTTTTGTCAGTATCTTTATAAATGTCAAAAAAAGAATTATTCCAAAGAGTTCAAAAGAGTACAGAAAAAGAAAAAAAAAAACATTTCAGCACCTGGTCAAATGAAGCAATCAGCTGCAGTTTTAGCATATAAAATACTAACGTGAATCTACGTTACAAATCCAACTTACCCATGTAGCCAATTCAATTATAACGTTCCCCCATTTGATCACCTTTCATGTGCTTTAGTCTGCATTATACTTTGTTCCCGATGAAGCTATTCAACCTCCCATGGAAAACCCGTATTGTTTTCTCCAGGACGCTGTGCAATAAAAATAACATGTCAATCATCAATGTGGTTCGATAGAAACAGGTACTGTACCACCTCGTAGTCAGGGATCAAAGGAGAAGTTGAGACACCAATCAAAAAACATTCCGAGACAGGGTTTCTTTAAAACAGCAAAAGTACGAGTTACACTACTGTTTATTGCGACTGTCAAGAATAATCGTTACCGGTCCATCATTTATCAAGTTAATGTTCATATATGATTGAAATTGCCCTGTTGCAACCCTTTCTGGTAATAAATCACTTCTAAGGGTGTCACGCAAAGAATTAAACATTTTAAGTGCCCCATCAGGATCCATAGCCAAATGAAAGTCCGGCTTATTACCCTTTAGTACATGCATAAGTGTAAACTGAGAAATAAGCAAAATACCACCGTCAATTTGCTTAATATTGCGGTCCCACGTCTTTTGCGAGCCCTCACTCGGCCATAGACGCAGCCCCAAAAGCTTTCTGGCAATGTAATTCATATCATCTGCAGTATCATCACGGTGAATACCTACCAAGACAGCAATTCCACGATTCACCTCCCCAACAACCTCATCGCCCACTCTGACTGAGCCGCTAATAATACGCTGTACAACAGCCTTCATCCAATATCAAGCCTCTCTTCAACCACAAAAAAACTAACAAAGTATCAAAGAGGAAAAAAAGGACAGAGAAACCAAAGAAAAAATATGCGCTTAATCATATGCACATTTTTAGCGAGACATTTTTTCTCTATTTAGACAACAAATCCATATATATATTTTTTTTATATTCATTTGTTTGTATTTAATTACTTACATATAATAAGGACCATATCAAGAGATTAAACTTAAACTTCACATCTTACCAAGCATGGTTTTATTTATTTCCAACACCATGCACACAATAAAAAAGATAGTCCCACATTCACAAAAACAAACCAAGTACAACAGAACACACTCGCAGAGCCTTCATTGCCTCCCAATCACAGTATTAGAAACCTCATAATCCCACGAGCAAAAGCAAGTCAAAGAACATTAGTCTAAGCCTTAGCTTTACCTCATAAGAATAGAAGAACAGAAAAAACAAACATATTCCCACTTTATCATAACAAATCCCACCTCCCCTTTATACAGATACTTTTACTCATAGTTTTTACGAAGCAAAAAAAGAAAACTAACAAAACGGAAATCCTGAACAGCAGCTCTAACCCTCCTTCCCTTCGACACGATGTTAGTTGGGCTGGGTGGGTATGCCGAAATTTACGATGTAGAGAGTAAAATAAAAATAAAAAAAAAAAAAGAAAAACAACATACACAACGTTCGTACACCCAAAACAAAACAAATACATCAAAAAAAAAAACTAAGATGGGGCACTCAGAGCACCTTTGCTCCGTTCACGCTTCACAAACCGGCTGTAACGGAGATGGACAATAACGGAAAGCAAAAAACCAACAGCAGCGACAGATGTAGCAACGATGATGGGAAGACGCACACACTCCGCCACATTACACTCCTCATTTGGCCCAAAGCCCAAACTATCATGTTTGGAGTCCACTGTAAGGCCAAAAAGGAGACGGTTGAATCCGATAACAGAAACCACTGTTGTCAGAAATCCGATGTTGTAATATACACAATGGTTACCCTCGTAAAGGCATGGAAAGATTAGTGCAATTACAGCAGCGGCCAGACCTCCCTCAAAGTAGACAAGAATGTATGGAAGCAGGATAAGCTTGCCAGGAAGCGTCAGTAGCAAAATCCCTGCTATAACAATTATTAATGGTGACAAGGGCAACGCCATAGTCACCAGAAAGCGGCGGTTATCAGGGGGTTGATGCTGTACATAGGCCTCAAACATACCCATACCAATACGACCAAGGCTGCTGCCCACACCGAGAAACGCAGTGTACAGTGCAGAGGTCCCCTGACTGCGCTTTTCTCCTGTAATTGCCACAGAAATAGTACTGGCGTTGTACATCACGATAACACCCAATCCACCTTGGCACACGAGGGTAATGAGCAGGAACCAGATATCAGGCTTCTTCAGATTATCCCACACAGTTCCGCCGTAACGAGGATCCTGCGGCAACTCCAGGTCAACATCATCAACTCCAACCCCTGCCATTTCATCTGCCAAGGAAGTCAATTCATTGTCTGGTAGGTTTGTGGCAGTGGTATTGCCAACAGTGTTAGAAACCTCGCCTCCACCAGTGCCCACTTGTTTCATGTCAACTTCTCCAGTAGAAACGTCACCATTGCCATCATTACTGCGTTCGTCCATGCCCCCTAGCCACTGTATGGGCAGCATCATAGAAAAGAAGCACAAAACAAGCACAATGGTGATTATACCAATGGCGATTGAGGACCCACGGGAGACTTTGGTGTAGCCCACCACCGGTGACTCGACAGTGAAGAACACTAAGAGTGCCACAACAATCACGTATCCAAGGGCAAGACGACGGACAGGAACAAACTTGTGGTGGTATGCAGGCTTTAATGCTGTCAGAACAGCAAGCTGCTCATCGGTTTTCCCACGACGTCGCCATCCATTGATAAAGTATGGAGGAAGCACCACAACAAAGGCTGCCACAAAGGACACCACGACTGAGAACGCCATGAGGAAGTAAATGAATGCAGATATATTGTTGAAGATGTTCACGCTGAGGGAGGCAAGTACGGAGCTTCCAAGACCGGTCATCACCTTGGCAAGGGCAATGACGGGTCCTCGATTGCGAGGAAACGTCTCTGCCAGTGTTACAATATAGGCGATGTCAATCAAACCGCTGCAAGTGTTCAGAAGAGCGTAGAAAACAGATATGTTCACCACGTTTCCGGGAATCACTCCATCGAACGTCAGACCGAGGAAAAGTGCACCAAATCCACCAGTAAAAATGCATATAATGAACAGCGGAAATGGACCAGCATAGTCGTACAAGAATCCAAATGGGAGAGTGAAGTAACAAAATACAAGTCCCACTGTGCTGATCGTTGACTGATCACCCGCACTTAGGTGGAAACGATCCGAAAAGTCTGTTGTAAACAAGTCGAAGGCGTAGACAGTGGACGTGCAAATACTACAAAACATGCAGCATACTAAAATACGAAATCGTTTCATCTCGTCCACCGGTGGCAGGCCTGCAGCCTTGCGTCGCTGTACCATTGCTGTCTGAGACTCCCACAATGGCATATTTATCAGTGCCGTTATATTTTTTTTTTTCCTTCATTTATAAAGACGATGCGTTTGGGTTGAGGACAAAAGGAAAAGAAAAGAAAAGAAATCGATCATGGGGAAAAGGGTCTAAAAAGAATAACAGAAAGCAAAAAAAAAAAGACTTTACAGGTTTGCAAAGAAAAAAAAAAAAAACAATATTAAACTAGACAAGAGATTTTGACTAGATATACTCGGACTGATCATATTTTTTGTAGAGTGTAGGGAGGTAGTAAACCTTCTTGTTTTATGGGACGACATTTTACTAATTCTTCACTCATACCTTTATGGTGTCGTCGTGCTGAGGTATCTGAATACAGTGGAGTTCGCAAGATGTCCATAAGATCAGCTTTGGCACGTTTAACCTGTGCCCTTCGGCGCGACAATAGGTTTACACCATGATGTTCCAGAACGGTATCCCGTTCTTGTTCGTATGTGTGATGTTCGTTGTACTGATTATCATTATCATTATTATCATCCTTCCAAAAGTATACTGTGAGACGACTACGTTGAGCTAAACTCATACTTTTTTCAGTTGCAGTATAGGCAATAGCACAAGACTCACTCACGCCATCAAAGGACTCCTGTGACTTCACACAACTGTGCTGTGAAGTGAGAGTATCTTTTAACAGCACTGTTGTAGACTCAACCGGCAAGATAAACAGTACCTGCTGAATAGGCAGGTCCGACGGTGGTTCACCCCGAAGCCACTGCAATACCTCAGATGCTCCTCTAATACTATCATTACTTGTTTCCTGTAATGAGGACTTGATTAACGTAACTACTGCACCTACTGTTAGCATCAACCTACAATTAACTTTTGTAGGTAGTACTGCATTAAAGGAATCTGTCAACGTCCTAGATAATGTTGCAATCTCACGCATTCTCTCGGGAAGGCTCTTGTGCGGATCGCATGAACTCCGCAACACAGAGGCCCCGACTACAACTAAAACTTCCTCACAGGTATGATCCAGGTTCAAAAAATTTAAGGACTCCATGACAACGTCCTCTACATTGACGGTGGTGATCGTAAATCGGAGAACGCAACCAATAAGTTTTTCCATTAGTACAAGGGCGGTGGTTTCTCTAGCAAAACTGTACCTTAATTGACTGCAGAGGAATTGCAGCATGAGAAGCGCTTCCCCATTTTTGTTGGTACATCCAAGCGAAACCCTCATCACCTGCTCCATCACACAGAGCACGATACCAGGTAACCAAGGTACAAGCGATACATAAGGCTGAAAACCAGGGGTGGAAAACAGCTCCCACAACATTTTCCGATAACTTGGCAATGCAGCAAGAATCCATTCTTGTTTGCTTGCGCCCAAGACAATAATGTCATTTATATTCAATGATTCTATTGGCAGATTCTGATCGGGACCTGCCACTAAAACAATGTAAAGCCAGAGTGCACCACAACTAATACCCTGGTCCCCAAGCGAGGAGAAAAAAGACATCAAATCAGTCGGTTTCACAATCTGCAAATTTCGACGTAAAAAAAAATCCCTTAAGTAAGAATACATATCACTTATAGTAGAATCAATATTCAATAAGACAGCATTGGCAGCTACCAATGCAGCCGTTGCTGCTAAAGTCATGTACAAATACTGCTCTTGGGATTCTTCAACTGTAGTCTTCAGAAGAGAAAGGGCTGTGCTGGCAGAAGATTCAAGGTAATCCCGATGTTTCTTCTGTGAGAGTAATAATGGCAAACCCATCACGGAAACTCCAATACTTCCTTGATAGTTGCACATGTCAACAAGATAACACTCAATAGCAAAGGCAACACAAGCTGAATAAGTTGTTTGCTGATACAATGAGGGGCGAGTAGGTAGACTTTCACGTACCACATTCAAAATATACATCACCTCTCCCTGTATATAAAACAGTGATTCAACGCTAACAATGTCATCTTCAAGGCCATAGTGTCGCCGGGCCTCCCCCTTCATGTAACTGAGTAGTTCCACTGCCATTGAGGCAATACCATCCCAGTCACATCCGGTCCGAAGATCATCAAATAGTCGTATCGCCTCTTTCATCGCATCCAGTGATATACGAAGGTTTGTATTACTCAGGTGGTGTAAAGTTGCATGAATAACACTCTTTAACAGACGAGCAACAGCTCGTTGAAAAACAAGATTTTCGCCACTCTCCGTAGTTTTTTCACTTGATCGTAGCAAGCCCCAGTTGCCAACCACACGGGTCCAGAGAGAACTACCGACTCTGGTGATGTGGGAACCTGTATTCTTTAGAGGTTCAACCGACTGACCCAACACTCCGCGAAAACGGTATAACAAAAAAATAATTCGTGTAACTGTCTCCGTATCACCAATAATCGCAGCTGCCTCAGCACACATCACAGCAATATCTTCAGTAAATACATATATGCCCCGCAGTCTAGCAATTGAAGCAAGTTGCAAAAGTTCCATAGCTTGATGTTTCGTTACGGTTGTACCACATCGTATTAATGCTGCCGCCACAGCACCGACAACAATGTCTGTTACAATTAGTCTCTTTTCACCTTCTGTACCTTCCATCCCACGTTCCAATGTTCTATTGCAACCCCCTTCCCGAAGATAACGTTGGAGTGTATATAGAAGCAAGTGGTACGGCTCACTGGCATCAGAACTGGTGGAGTTAGTAGAAGATAGAAGGCAGCTCTGTGCAAAAAGCAAAGCATCAAGGCCCTCAAGAGCAGACATAACTTCGGCTAGTGCTTTCGCCTGTACTTTCATCATCCCCTGATCAGAGAGGTCCCATTCCATTCCTGCCTGCGATGGATGAAGCGGCTTTTTAAGCAATTCCGCGAAAACCAAATACACTTTCTTCGCATCCCTGCCCATGTCACAGGACTTTAGTTTCTGGAGAACTAAAATATACTCATATGGTGAAGTCACTGTAGATGTATTTCTACATGGTGAGGGGCGATGAATGGCGTAAAGTCGACGACGCTCGACACGAAGGAAATCACCGACAACATCCTCTACAGCGCTACGCGTTTTAGCAGCAAGCAATACCAAATGTGGATAAAGGTGAGAAGGTTTACTCAACTCCAGTTCATTCGAAGAGCTAAGTAATCCTGTCGACTGTGACTCCTGGTGTTGTTTCCCACGTACATCGTCCTTGTTTCTTCCAGCTATAGATAGGCAACGACAGCTGCGCTCAAAAGAACTTGGCTTCTCAGAAGATATAATCATTCGGACAGAAACACCACGTGGTACCATATTCCTCTGCACAGTGTAGCCTGGTACCCTACGAATAGAACTACCACTAGCCACTGCAGACATGGCAAATGCCAGTGCATACGATATCTGCTTGTTGTTTATCATGCACTACCCGCCATCCTAGACACGGAAATAAAAAAACAAATAATAAAAAAAAACAAATAAAAACAAATAAATATATGAAAGCAATATTGGAATAAAGAGTGTACCACATGATAACAAATCCAACAAACTCCAATTTACAGAGATACAAAAAAAAAAGACTTAAAACTTATATCTCTTTCATAAGAACGAGACTTTACTGTTATCAAGCCTTTACCTTTTTTTTCCTCTTGAACTCGAACAGAGTGAGTCGATGCAGAATTGGCTCGTGACTATCAGTTTTCCTAAGAGTATTCAGACGAACAAATAGTACAAATATCTTCCGGCATGATACGTGAAAAAGAACGACACAAGACCGGAGAGCACAGAAATAAAAAAATCCCACATATCAAAAAAAAAAAAGAGCTAGATGCAGAGAGAGGTACTTTGGCAGTAGTAGAACCATTAATAGCATTAAAAGAATTTCAGGTTCCCCCAGCTCATTTCCCCTAATTTCATTTCGACATATTCTTTGCTTATTTCCAATAACAAATTCCAATTAAAAAAAAAAAAAAAACAGCCATCCACTCTGAATAGCTACAATAAGATACTAATACAACAATAAAAATGGACTCTGCATATTAACGCATGATTAATTATTATTTTGTACTCTAATATTGGTAGTACACATATCTACAATTGCTTGCAGAAAATGACAAAATAACCTCGTCTTAATTAAAATAAAAAAAAAACAGAAAGTTAGTATCAAAATTATGCTTTGTAACCTCCAACCATATTAATCTATACATCCTACCATATTAATAATGAAAATCCATGCATTAATATTCCAAGCCCTCAGTCGAAAGAAACAGAAGCTCCAGCACTCAGAGCACCTTTGCTCCGTTCACGCTTCACAAACCTGCTGTAACGGATATGCACAATAAAGGAAAGCAGAGTAGCAACAGCAGCGACAGCTGTGGCAACGATGATGGGAAGACGCACACACTCCGCCACATTACACTCCTCATTTGGCCCAAAGCCCAAACTATCGTGTTTGGAGTCCACTGTAAGTCCAAAAAGGAGACGGTTGAATCCAATAACAGAAACCACTGTTGTCAGAAATCCGATGTTGTAATATACACCGTGGTTGCCCTCGTAGAGACATGGGAAGATAAGCGCAGACACGGCAGCAAACACACCCTCCTCAAAGTAGACAAGAATGTATGGAAGAAGGATAAGCTTGCCAGGAAGCGTCAGCAGTAAAATTCCTGCTATAACAGCTATTAATGGTGACAAGGGCAAGGCCAGAGTCACCAGAAAGCGGCGGTTATCAGGGGGTTGATGCTGTACATAGGCCTCAAACATACCCATACCAATACGACCAAGGCTGCTGCCCACGCCGAGAAACGCAGTGTACAGTGCAGAGGTCCCCTGACTGCGCTCCTCTCCTGTAATTGCCACAGAAATAGTACTGGCGTTGTACATCACGATAACACCCAATCCACTTTGGCAGACGAATGTAATGAGCAGGAACCAGATATCAGGCTTCTTCAGATTATCCCACACAGTACCGCCGTAACGAGGATCCTGCGGCAACTCAGGGTCAACATCATCAACTCTAACCCCTGTCATTTCATCTCCCAAGAAGGTCAACTCATTGTCCGGTTGGGTTGTGGTTGTGGTATTGCCAACAGTGTTAGAAACCTCGTCTCCACTGGCGCCAAGCTGTTTCAGGTCAATTTCTCCAGCAGAAAAGTCACCATTAGCATCATCACTGCGTTCGTCCATGCCCCCTAGCCACTGTATGGGCAGTATCATAGAAAAGAAGCACAAAACAAGCGCAATGGTGATTATACCAATGGCGATTGAGGACTTATGTGACACCTCGGTGTAGCTCACTACCGGTGACACGACAGTGAAGAACACCAAGAGTGCCCCAGCAATCACGTATCCAAGGGCAAGACGACGGACAGGAACAAACTTGTGGTGGTATGCAGGCTGCAGCGCTGTCAGAACAGCAAGCTGCTCATCGGTTTTCCCACGACGTCGCCATCCATTGATGAAGTATGGAGGAAGCACCATCACAAAGGCTGCAACAGAGGACACCACGACTGAGAACACCATGAGGAAGTAAATGAATGCAGATATATTGTTGAAGATGTTCACGCTGAGTGAGGCAAGTACGGAGCTTCCAAGACTAGTCATCACCTTGGCAAGGGCAATGACGGGTCCTCGATTGCGAGGAAACGTCTCTGCCAGTGTTACAATTGCCGCTGTGTCTGCGAGCCCGCTGCAAGTGTTCAGAAGAGCGTAGAAAACAGATATGTTCACCACATTTCCGGAAATCTCTCCATCGAACGTCAGACCGAGGAAAAGTGCACCAAATCCACCAGTAAGAGCGCTTAATACCAACAGCGGAAATGGACCAGCATAGTCGAACAAGAATCCATATGGCAGAGTGAAGTAACAGAATACAAGTCCTACCGTGCTGATCGTTGACTGATCACCCGCACTTAGGTGGAAACGATCCGAAAAGTCTGTTGTAAACAAATCGAAAGCGTAGATAATGGACGTACAAATACTACAAAACATGCAGCATACCAAAATACGAAATCGTTTCATCTCATCCACCGGTGGCAAACCTGCAGCCTTGCGATGTTCCACGTCCCTCGTCTGAGAAAACAAGCGTCGCATGATTTTCATTATTATGGGACCTTCTTATTATTGGTAAAGAGTGGAAGAAAAATGAGAAAAGAAATGCCATAAATGGAATAGAAATTATTTGTACTGCAATCACGCCTATCCAGTAAGGGCATGTTTTACATAGAGGGGTTCGAATGATGTGATCTCTTTTTATTCATTACATTCAGTCTGTATTCTTTCAGCTCAACCTCCGCATTGAAATAAAGGAGAATACAAATAAAAAAGAATAATACCCAGAAAAAAAAATAAAATAAATAAATAAATGTAACAAGAAAGTAGTTGATTTAACTCTCGCGTTTTTTTTTGTTTCGTTTTATACTTTTTTTTCCTGTCTCCCCTTCAAATATTCATTTATATATATATATATATATATATATATATATAACCTTGTTTCCAACCCTTATTTAACACTTCAATGTAATGCTCCTTATTGTAGTCTGAAAAGTTCCGTTTTTTTTTTTTTTTTGTTCATTACGCCTCTTTTCTTTTCTTGATAATAGGAGGGGCAAAATAAATGTAATACAAAATTAGAAAGAAAAAAAAAAATACTGGTGGCTTCACCCAATAAATATAATATCATCGTGAAGCAAATGAAAATAAGAGTTACAGGAAGAAACAAAAGCATAGGGAGAAAACACATTTCATCCTTTTTCCAGTGTATAGCCTCCTATTTGGTCCTGTACGAAAAATCAAGAAGCTAAAAAAGTGACCGTAATTCTACTACAGAATCGGCACAATCTCTTCTCCCCGAGCAAGTTGCTGCAGAAGCTCCTCACAGTTCATGAGGCAACGTGGGTGGTGGAACGGACCCTTCCAGAGCGAACCCTTCTGTGTGTGGGAGACGGTGCCGTCGCGGTGAAGGTAGCCATACCAATCACCGTACTCCTTATCCGCAAAGTGGCCAAAGGCGTACACGTGCAGGCGCTCAAACCATTTAAAGTACTTTTCATCCTTTGTGAGTCCATACGCCATAAGAGTGGCTATCAGAGCCTCGTTGTGCACCCACCACAGCTTCATATCCCACTCCAACTGCTCGCAAGGTCGCTTGTCAACATCCACAAAGTATAATATACCACCAAAGGTTTCGTCCCAGCCACATTCCAAAGACCAATTCAGAATGTTCAAAGCCTTCGAAAGCAGCTCCTTGTCCTTGGAGTAAATTGCTTCATTCATTAAAAACCATGCATTTTCAATGGAATGACCTGGATTAACACATCTTCCAGCTGGTGTATCAATCCTACTTCCGTCATTTCCAACACATTCCAATACACAATGAAGTTCCGGTTTGTAATGGAAACTGAAAATAACGTTAGCCATCTCTCGTGTAATTTTTGTATAGTAATCCGCCTTTGCAGGGTCGCAACGACGTAGAACCTGAGCGCAACTTAGCATCACCATTGGAACTGCACATACGCGGTCATTGCGAGTCTTTGCATAACCTTTAGGTGTAATTTTGAACGGATCACTCTCAGGAGTATGGAATAAGCGGAGCATAAGCTCATAACGATCTTCAGCCTTCTTGATTGCATCCTTATCTCCTGTTGCGAGACCATATTCAGCCATTCCCATGACGTAGAAACTCTCCGAGTACATATACCTTCGCTTTCGTAGTGGCTCTCCATCTACTGTCACGGTAAAGAACATTCGTCCATCATCATCGGTACAAAATTTTTCCATGAAGTCCTTTCCTATTTTTGCTGCATCAAGACATTCCTGGCGGTTTCCATAACGGTTTATTAGTGCCGAAAAAGTCCAGAGACACCGGCCTTGAAACCATACTGACTTGTCGTTGTTGTAGGAACGACCAGTGCGGTCCACAGAGGTGATGTACCCTCCATTTACACGATCGATTAGATCGGACTTCATCCAGAAAGGAATACAGTCTTGCATCAGCTGATCATGGTAAAACTGACGGTACGAATCCAGTGTTTCCTTCTTGACTGTCATATTTTAAATGCTGTAAGAAAATCTTTTGTTGCTTTTTTTTTTGTATTTTAAACCTATCCAGTAAGCAAAACCAAATTAATAAAAAAACAATGTAGGAAAATAAAAAACCAATAAATAATGATAATAATGATAATAATAATAATAATAATAATAATAATAATAGTGGATATTCTACCATTGAAATAATGTGATCATTTTGATCCCAACTTCCCAAATGAGTATTGGAGTAGAGAGTTTTTGACCGCTGACGTGTCTCTACCCCCCTCAAAAGTCACACAAACATTCAACTCCCAACCCATAGTGGAAACATTGGAAAGGAAATGGGGAAAAAAAAAAAACGACTCATCACGACCGCCATAGTACAATAAATTTTTCATCATTTCAAAGTCCTTCTTCAAGAACAGCATGTAACGTCTCGAAGCCCTTCAGTTCGCGAAGACGCTCCCGTTGTGACTCCTGTGTACAACACCTAGACAACGCAATTCCCAAGTTCTTTTGTGCAGCGCAGACATGTCTCCATTGCGGGTTGCCCCTTTTCCCATCATGCTCTAGTGTAAATTTGAGCTCCCGCGCATCCCGCAATCCCTTCAACAAGACATCCACAGTTTTGAAGGCCGCATATTGGGCGTACCCATCGGGAGGCACAAAGGATGCTGTCAGCGCCGCATTGCCTAGTGCCACTAGGTGATGGTTGCCAGCAGACTGAATGATTCGCATCAGGGTATCGATACGATTTGAAATAGACAATCCCTTTTCCCGCGAAAGAAGATTCTGTGAGTAAAAAGAGGCAATACAGGTTGTTACATGTTCTGCCATTTCCCAAGCCGCTTTCTTATTTATTTCGCCTTCATCCACTGCAGTCTTGGATTCATCTGCAGCTGGTTCAATTACTCTGAGAGCAATATCTAGTAAGGACCATACCCCCTCTTCATCTTTTAATATCGCATTTCGAAGAGACTCATCATATGGTGAAAACTTTACAAGAACACCCATCATTTTTGCTTGAACACTTACGCTTTCCAATGGCACTTTATCAGACAATGCCCACTCACGAAGCACATCCCAGGTAGGAAGAAACAAAGATGAGGTACCAATATTTTCCAATTTCGTTTTTGCATTACGCCACTGCTCAACGTATTGAGGCCGTGATTCCACCTGTAGAAAGACATTATAAACCACAGCATAAAGCGCTTCCTTTAGTCGTGGTGAAGAAGAATCCCATTTTCCTTTATGGATCCATGATACCAGAGATGCAAGGTTTTGTGTAAACTCTGGTGAACTCATTGCCTTTGCCCATTCACTGCTAACACATGACATACGTAGTGCTAAAGAAAGGCCAACTTCCTTTAACTGTACTGATTCTGACGTAATCGCCGAATTTACAACTTCTAATAATAATCCCTCTGTCTCTTTCGCAAGCGCCACAGAGACGGATACCTTTCTAAACAACGCCTCTAATAAACCAGAGTAAAAGAAAAGCATCTGAGGGACTTGATGTTGTTTTATTATATCCGTCCATATTATCCTCAAATCCTTATCATTACAATTAGTATACACTTGAAACGGAAAACGTACAGCCAAAGCCTCCAAGAGCTGTAATATGGCTACTAACAGTATAATTGTAGCACTTGCAGAATTAGTTGAAAAATACTGATGTTCAATATCTTTCAGTATTTTTACAAGATTGTCTGTAATTTCTGCAATGGTAGATGATGGTTCTAGCCCATCCGCAGCCACTTCACTCTCATGCAAAATAAAAGCCAGCAGGCGAGCAGACATCACAAATGTCATTCCATTTGTTGAAAGTTTCATCGAACCGTCATCAATAAGAAACCCAAAGCATCGTGATGTACAATTATAGAGTAGAATAGAAAAGAGATTCATCAGTGAATTAACACCATTGCTGAGAGTAAACAACACAGCAGCACCACGATGAAACGACTGTACTAATTCAAGGCATTGACGCACACTTTCAGCTGCCTGTAACATGAACTTTTTCTCATTCTCTTCTTTATCAGTAGCATTTTCAACAGAAGATGTTTCCTCTTTGTCATCCTTGGCATGGATTTCTCGCAACCGAGTCACTGTAGTGGTTAAACTATCCACTGAATCTCTTAAACGTTTCGCTTCGTTGGAATTATGCTGCTGGAATGCGGCACATGAAGTATGCTCACTTTTTGCTCGTTGAAGCCAGTGTGCAAGGTCTGCAGCCTCTTGACTTGTTGGCTCTTTTTGTAATGCAGTCTCCGCATCCTTCAGTGCATCTAAGGGACGATGTAGGTGTCTAAGAGCCGTAGCCCGTCGTAACAATGCCTTGACATTGGTTGGCTCTTCCCGTAATACATAGCTAGCGTCATCCACTGTCTCAAGATAATGCTTTAACTTTAATTGCACAAGGGCACGATTGTTGCGTAGAGTACGCTGAAGCCCATCATCCACCACATTTAGGGCAATTGCACTTGTGTATAACTCAAGCGCCCTCACCCAATCCGACATCTTTACTGCTCCTGCCGCCTCATCCTTTAGGCGACGAGCTTCTTCTAGTGAAACACGTTCTGATCTGCTGTAGCAAAGCTCATCTCTCATTATGGCACTTCGATTCTTGTTGCTAAGACCGTCCACCTCCTTCAGTAGCTTATCAATGACTTCGTCATTCTCAAAACGAAAGTAGTAACGCGGGTCGTATCGCATCTTTATCTTTTCACGAGCCTCGTTTGCTTCGGTCTGACGCCGCCGCTCCTCCCGCTCTTCTCGTTTCCGTGCGGCTTCCATGGGGTCCTCGTCTAATATATCTCGCACCGCTGCCGTGATGTCGTCAACACGCTCCAGCCATTCCTCCACCGCCTGTCGCGATGGGGCTGCCTTTTCATCGAGTTGTTTAGATGACATGCAGAGTGTGCGAGATGTATTACCTCTATTCAGTAGTGTTATGTTAACTCTTTTTCTTTTTTTATTTATTTATCCTTCCTTCTTGTTGCTGATCCAGTACACTTAGTATAACAAAGATGAGTGATGGAGAAAAATGAGAGGGAAAGGAGGGAATGTGCAAAGACGGGAGTGCGTAAGGAATTGACGCACAAAATGCAGTGTACCTCTCTCTTATTTGTAAACCCAAAAACAGCAGCGGTTGTGCAACTCTTCAACGCACAGACTTGTTACTGCTGTGCAACAAACAATTCCAATCTGCAGCACCGCCAGTACTTACGAGTTCAATGCTATTATCTTCAAACACCGCAGCGCGTACCACCTCCGTGAAGCGACGATCAACACCATCAGCTCCAGTGACTTGCTGCGCCGATAGCGTCACACGCTGTGCATTCAACTGGTTAGCTGGATCCATGCAAACTATATTTAGTTTGCCAGGTGCTTTTTTGTTGTTGTTGTTGCTGTTACCTTCGTTGTTTCGGGAAAAATAAAAAAAAAAGAGGGAGAAAAAATTGTTTCCCTTCTCTGTTTTGTATGGGTCATGAAAAAAAACAAACAAATCAAGTCAAAAAGAGTCTTCAAACACAGAAACTGAAGAAAAACCAACACCAGTGGAACAGAGATAGGTGTTTCCAGAGAACATACAGACACATATACATAAAGAATGTATGTATAATCTTTTATTTTTGGTTATTTTCGTTCCCTTGTTCTTGTATTCCCATTTAGACTTACCCAAAGACGCTAATCAATGCTAATATTTCCCTATAAGAGTCTAACAATATATATATATTAAAACTCCTCAAGGAATTCCTCAGAGTCAACTGTATCGTCATCGCACACTGTGCATCCGGTCGCTGCTGTTTTTCGGCAGCACGTGCAACTATTTCCACTACACTGCACTTCACCCGAATTGCTGAAACAGGTGGTCGCCTGCGAAAGAGGTGCATGGCATAGATACGAGTATCCCCTTTCACGGCAATACCCACAATCAACTTCAGCGCGGGAAACGGGAGTGTCGCACAGCAGCATGAAAATCAATACAGCAAGTAAAATCAGTGTTACACTTAGCCTCATTTTTATGAACAGATTTACAGTGAAGTACAGGTAATAAATATATGTATAATCTTGTATTTGGCTAAACACAGCAAAGAAATTGAAATGTGTCCTTCTCACAAGAAAAAAAGGTATTGAAAAGAAAAAAAAGAAATAGAATAATAGAATTTCTCACAAACGAAAAGGATTATACAGATTCATATACGCGCATACACACCAAAAAAAGAAGCACAAAAAAAAAAAAAAAAA